CCGCCCTTGCGGTCATGTTCTGTGGACTGGGCCAAGTTGACCGTCTGGTCTGGCCTTAGCCAAAAATAAAAGAGCACCGGCAAAGGGATTGTATTTCGAGGTGTTGGGCAGCCAGCGAGTGTTAAAAAATGTTTTAGTAGCGCATTTTTGAGGTTAAAAGCGTGGACGTGCTGCCAGAAAAGAAGGATGCAGGGACCAAGGTGGCGACAATGGCGTTGAGTGCCGAAAGGGTCCAGGGGCTGGGCCAAGAGAGATTTATCTAGCCCTGGTGTACGTGATGGCAACAATCGTGTCAACCGCTGTCGGCCAGCGGCATGAATTATGACGAATATGTTCGAGAGTGTGTACTGCACGAATGTGTGTCTTGTAAATCTCGGCCAAATCTCCGACAAGAAAGACAAATAAACTGCAATCGTTGGGGCATAAATCCTAATTCAAGTTTGATTATCTTCCCCTTTGGGGTTGAGCTCAGAGTAGGCAAATGGGCGAGTGGCTTCGGGGCAACCCGCCAGCTGCAACTGGACGAGGGGCGAACAAAAGCTCTCAACCCCATCGTCTTGCTTTGAATTCAAATCCCAGGCCCAGGTCTCCGGTCTCCAAGTCCCAAATCCCAGGCGAGCATTAACGAACATTTTCCTTGTGCCTGCCTGCCTGGTGTATGTCGATTGAGTCCCAAACCTTTTGGATAAACGAAAGTCAAGCCAAAACCTAGGACATTAAATCCGTGCAGCCATTAACATTTACGATTTCGCATCCGGAGGTCAACCAATCACACACACAATCCATATACATTGGAAAAAAACTACCTTCCCTAGGAATTAATATCTTAAAAAAAGTCCTTCAGAAAAGAGTGACTTTAAATCAAATTTTTGTTAGAAGTTTCTTTATGTACTTTATTGCCCTTGAACCCCATAAGTTAGGCTGACTCTTTAATTATTTCTCCTTGTGCCTTCTAAGCCTTCCCCGGAATCCAGATTGGTCGGCATTTAGTGGGCAACATCAACTGCAAACACATTGTGAAGAAAAATGTGTGCGTAGTATGGCATCCAAGAGGATGCAATTCTGGGAATCGAAAATACCAACATGTGCCGGAGAGGACGAGAGGGCTCTCCAGTCGTTGGTAGTTTATCTTGGACTTACAGTGCAGCCTGGTGACCAGTTCAGTCCTAGATGCCCAGCTTTCCCCGGGCTTCCGAGTTGCCTCCGAGATCGACTTAATGGGCCAGTAGACCGGAAAGCGACCAAAGATTTGCGCCCAAACAGCACAACGTCTGAAGTTTTGCATTTTAATAGGCTCCTAACTTCCACCCGTTTGACCTGTATTTGTTTATTTGGCCCGCAGCAGATGGGCGGGGGAATGTGTGTTCATTGGCCAGGTGTGGCTTCCATTTCGTTCAGAGATTTGCATCCGATTGCATTTTCAAGTTGGGCAATTTTCAGACCAGTGCGGACCAGGCACTTAGAGTCGTTCAATGAGCCGGAAAATTCCTCTCTCTTTCTGGACTTTATCCTTCGCTTAATAGTTTCTAGCAATTGGTCAATATGTCCTAGAAGTCCGAGACTAATGAGTCTTTAGTTTTATAGAGTGTGCCATACGATGGGAAAAAGTGGGATTTGTTGAAAAGGATTTGATTTTAATTAATATAAATCCCCTCAGTGCTGACATTTTGATTTAAACCGCAAAATCGCTGGAAGCTGAATTGAAGCTTATAATTGAAACTAATTAATTTTCGGGGATTCTGGTTTATTTTCACATCAATCATAGTTCACATCTATCATACATATATATTGTGCGATGATTGCTGTGGAGAACTCTTTCAACAAAGTCGGCTATTTGGTTAAATTTTAATGACTCAGCCATTTGGCTTGATGTGTGGGCATCATCAGGAGCACCCTCATCAGGATCTCCTGCCACAATGCTGGCGCCAAGTCACGTTCTCGCTTAGATTCTCTTGGCTTTCTCAACGATTCTTTTTTCCCCCACTCTCTCTATATCTCTATACTTGTATATGTATATTCTTTTTTTCGTTTTTCCCCGTTTTTAGAGGGAGATTCGTGACGTGACGAGTTGCCACGCTAATGCACGCCCTGCAAAGTATGCAATAAATTTGAGGAATGTGTCTGTGTCCTGGCAACACTATACCTGCTTGTGCCCCTGTGTGTGCTTGGCTGTGTGAGTGGGGATAAAACGAAAGGATCCACTGTCATCTCTATCATAAACATTAACAGCTTTTACTCACTTCGCGGCAGTCGCTTTTTCACAAAAGCAAATACGAGCATCTAGGAAACTGCGATTTTTCATAGGACTCTTCCCCTCTGACGCCATCCAGTGCCGCAAACTGTTTGCTTAATAAGTTCCTGCCGCACTTTCGGGGCGCCTCTGTTTATTTTCAACCGTTCTGCGAGTGCAACCACATAAAAGCCAAGCTGCGAAGCAAACAAACAAAGCGCAAAAAATCAGCCTCGAACGCCAGCCCTGGGGTTAAGTCCTTGGGCCAACATCTTTGCGGTCGCTGTTGTTGCCGACCTCTCGACATGCCCGGCACGTTCCTATTCGTTTGAAACTTCAAGCTACCGGCAAGCAAAAATCAAATTCAATTAGCCCAAGACACGTGGACCGTGTAGAAAAAATTCCTGGGCTCCAGGTAGTTTCAATTTTTCCAACCGACTGGCCAAGAAAACTTCTAAATGGGTTAGTTAACTCTTGAACTTGTATGCCTTTGCAACTATTTTATAAACGTTATTTCAGGCGCATTTCGATCTGAGGTAATCGAGCGTGGTTATTAAGTTAATTGAAATATTAAAGTCAATATGTAATCTGAAATCAATTTCGGTTTAATAATATAAATGGATGAAGGACAAAGGCACAATTCTGATTAAAAATATTCATATAAAATTAAATAAGAATTCCCTGGAAATCCCGACTGTTTGCTAAAGACTCCCCGAGTGTAAAAATTCGATTTATGCGTAGATATTCAGCTTTGGCTATTAAGCTTTTGTAATTTGCATATATGCCGACTCACGGAGACAGACCGGCGGCGACACTGGAGAGGCATCCGCCGGTATTCAATAAATATGAAACTCATTCATCACTGTCAGCTTAAGCTGCACCCGGAGCACCGGAGCTCTCACTTTAAATCCGCCGTAAACGCAGCGCTTAAAGTTCGGATAAAATGCCAGATATCCACATATGTGGGTGTATTTGCTTGTGTGTCTGATGGCTGTGCTAATGAAATATAGCCCATCCTTCACGTACATACATATATAGCCAAATAAACACAGAACCCTCATCAAAATTGCGTATACGCAGTGTGGGCCCGTGCAAAATATGTACCATCTACTTATCGATGCTGTCAATGAATTTCGTTGGCGAGGCGCTTAAATTGAAATTTTTCTTTCGGCCAATTGCAGGCTTTCTCCAAAAATTCAAATTTTTGAGAAGCAATTACGCGCTGGGTACTTTGATGTGGCTGCTTAGAAGCTTTGAACTCATCAAAATAAAATGTAAAACAAAAAACGAAAAATTAAAATAAATAACAAAGCAAAAATGTCCAGAATGCAGGCGAAGGCAGACTTAAAGCCTGACGGAAAATTCTTGGAGCTATTTCCATTTTGAATATCTACCACATTGCCAGTTCGGCCGTCAAGGACCAGGGAGCGTCAAGGTTGTCCCCTTTTAAGCGCCTTAATGGCTAATTAAATGAAATTGAACAGGTCCTCGCTTAATTGCCAGCACAAGCAGGTGTATTAAAAATTAATAAAAAAATAAAGTTCAAAACGAAGCTCCACCGACAATGCTTAATGTTTATGAGCCTGTATGGGGTGCTACAAATGCTTTTTATTGACTTGCCACCGTAGGCCCCATGGCCTTTAATTAACTTTTCGCAATGCCGCGTTGCCATGAAAACGGATTTTGTGTGGAAAAACCGCCGAATACGCTCGGGGAAATGAATTTTTAGGAAATGAAAGGGGTTTAAAGCGGTAACAAATTTTAAATTCCCGTAATTCCATGGCAGCTATGTGGCAGTGTGTGTCTGTGTGTGTATTTGTTTGGGCGTACCACATGGCGTATGATTAATGCGCCTCTCGGCGCTTCGTACATTTCATTAAATAAATTGTAATTTATCAAAAGCCAAGCGGGACAACGCGACTCCCCACAGCCCACATCCCCACAAGCCAAAAGCAAATCAAATAAATTACAGACAAGTTGAAAAACTTTGACCATTAAATGCCCTAAACCAAATACGGCCAATGACGACTTGTTGTTTGGTCCTTTCTTTTTTTTCGGCGTTGTTGGTTTGCTTCTCTATTTTATTCGTCGACTGGCCGGTTGTTGTTTTTATTTGCCAAGCATTTCATTGCAATTGATTTTTGGTGTCAGCTGCACGCTCAGCCAGAGACAGACATGACCAGGCCCACTTCCGATCCCCCGAAAATTCTGTGGTTGCGGCTTAAGTTTGTCGGCAAATTGAAAACTTTGTTGGTTAACTTGTCCGTGGAAATGGCAACCGAAGCCCACGGTGAGGGGCCAACGCCACCGGAAAGTGGAGAGTTGGAAAAATAGCCCAAAACCCTGGGCACATCAATACCACATTCCTTTGCCTCCGGCTCCCAATTCTTTCACTCTCTTTCCCCATTCTGGGCCCATCGCCATTCCCCAAATAAACAGCAAAGCGGACAAGCCGCCAAAACCAGGGGCTAGATCACTTTCTGAGGCTGGATTTCGGCCCTTTTGGGCTGATTGCATTAACCAACAAAAATAGACTTAAACAATAACAAAAATCAGAGCAGAGTCACAGCTGCGGAAACCTCGAATGTAAATACTCTGAGATGGCAAGTGTTTGTTTTCTCACGAAGAAAAATAAGAAAAATATTTTAAAGAATCATAGGTATTAATGGTGTGGTTATTTTTATAATCATTTAAATAAAATGATTAAAATATTAAATATATAACTACAGGGTACCAGCTTCTAAACTTTTTTTTAGAACTATCTTAAAAGGATTCAAGTGTTCTGTCTAAAAATATCCCTTTTCAAGGTGGCCAGAGTGATTTCCTTTTAATATAAATAAATAAACAGTCGGTTGGCCGAAATGAAAGTTGTGGACGAATTATTAAAAGTTTCAACGCAAAAGCTACTTAGACTTTCCCCAACTTCTCAGACACCAGCGTGGCATTTACTGAACACCGACGGAGTCCTGGGCGGCGGATGGACCTGGGCCACTGTGGGCTCATCATCCAACTGGATGTCCGTACTGGAGAAAGGAGAGGCGCCTGTAATCTGACCGTAACGCGGCTGCGAAAACCGGATGGCAGAAACCCGTTCACGCCAGGTGTACCAGAAGTGCTTCGTGTAGCCACCGCCACCGAACTCGAAGATCATTGGATTGGCTGTCGGGATAGGGCATCTGTCCACCGGTTGGATCACACTTAGCATCATAAGGCTCCGCTTGTTCTTGCGGTAGAAATGGAAGCGCAGAAACTGCAGTGGAAACATGCTAACCAAATCGAAGCATTCGATCTCAGGATCCACACCATAGCTCAGAAAGTCCGCTTTATCTCCGCACTTGCGGAAAATGTCGCAGCCGAAAAGCAGCCGATTGCAGGTGAGACCAATGTGGTATTGACGCAGTCCCACGCCCCGACTGTCCACCATGGTAAAGGGATTCTCCACCAGAACCGGCTCGTAAATCTCCTGGTACTCGGCTAACAAAACTTTCTGCACTCGAAACATACCCGTCAGCCGCAGAAAATGAAATAGCAATGACTTTGGCTATAATTTAATTGAAACGTCAATCAAAGTTTTGCAGCTCGTTTGTCGTCTGGCTGTCAATTTGTTTGCTTTTATTTGAGAGTTGAGAATATTTGCATCACCGCCTGCTCTGCTCTGCGGCTCTGAAAACTATCCGGATTCCGGACAAGTCCGATTACATCTTAGACATAGAAAATGCAAATCACTGACCATCCGGTGTGATAAGTTTTAAGGCTGCATTTGAATTTAAATTGGTATTTGCGGAGGAAATCTGGGCAAGGATCTCGATGAAATACGTTCAGCTAACTAGGATCATCTAGGCGCCTAAGTTGTGTATATAACCTTTTTGAAATTACCTTGATTTCCTTATAATTTTCCAAGCTGAAATGTTCAAATATTTGTCAAGGAAAATCCATTTCGCCAGCGCTTGACGGTTATGAATAGAGTAAACTTTGTCGATTTTCGTATTAAGGTTAATTTTATTTGAATGTTTCTACTTTGTCAGCTGAAGGGTGTAGAAGATATATATACAGTTTTTTTGTGCCATATTGTCACTGTTTCTGTTCGACATGGTAACAAGTTGCCAGCCATAATCTTGGCTTATGACTGCCACAGTTCACTTTTTCTGTTACTCTGGCTCTGTCATGGCAAACACTTTTAAAATATTCTGATTTATGACAAACTTTCACCGCCCGCTTTCAACTTTTCGCAGTTGCCATTTGGCACTTTCCATTCCACTTTTTACTTTCACGTCCCCGATGTCCTTGCGCTTCTTTTCTCAACGGTTTCAGTGCAATTGGTGACAAAAAAAAAAAAAATAGAAAACTCTGTCTTGGGATGGAGGATACAGGATGCGGGATGCGGGTTGCTGATTCTGCTCACTTTGTCAGCCATTTAATTTAGCCGCGCTGGCAATTGCAACTGCAACTGTTGCGGAGTGTTGCGGGCAAAGCGGAAAAATCCGGAACATCGGGGGCATTAGGCAAGGAGTTATAGCGCAAAGTACTGTGTTAAGTGGCATCTTTGCAGTTTTCAAAGCAATTAGTTTCAAGAAAATAGACGAATAGTTAAGCATAACTTATGGCCTGATACTTTCCCGGTTTCAACATTTCCATGGCTTCGTCCTGGTTGTTTTCTGCTAATTTTCCAGACAAAATTCATCTGGACAGGCTTCACAGCCCGGCTGAGTAATCCTCCATTGATTAAGTGCGCTGAAGACCAAAATGGCAGCCTGTCACAAATCACCTAAGACACATGGCCCCTTAATGAATTCGTAATCGTATCCTCGTATTCGTATTCATTCTCGTACCACTACTTGTATCCAAATGAACGAATGTCGTTTGTGGCCTGGGCTCGTGCAATTGAGGGAATTAATTAAAATTTTCTCGTTTGGCATGTTTATGATGGCACTCTCAATTAATTTCAGGGCTCGTTGGGCTCGAGAGCATCGGATGTGTTAAGGACATCGATTGGGGTTTATGCATGCAAGGTTTGGGAATATGTTGATCGGAGAATTGCAAAAACTTGAACAATGTTTTGAGCCTGAATGTCTCAAGAAGTGTGTCAACGGTTTATAAATATCTTTTTAGTCTAAATCCCCCGCATAAACCCATGCTTCACAATTAATTTGGCATTGTTGCTTTGCTCATGTCTTTGGGGCAATTAATGCCTTAAATGTGTTTCATTGTCTCGATCATGGTCTTTTCTCCTGTCTGCCAACCGTTTGCACATTCAATTTAATTCGAGCCATCTAAGCGCTAATGGTCATTGGCTTAAACATTACCAACAAAACTGCAGTCCTCCCCCATCCCTCAACCCGTCTGTTAGCTCTGTTGTCGATTGGTATCTGGCTCGCTTGCGCTTGGCCTAACACCTGTATTGTTCTTGAGTGCAGCAATTAGGTAAAATCAGCCAAAGCACGCACGTGTGCACTGAGATTTTTTGTGACTTTTTTCATTGGGGCTTCGATAATAATAGGTAAGACTTACAGTCTTTTTTGTACACCTCTTTTTTCTCACTGCATAATTTCAAGCATGCTCGTGTGTTGGCTTGTTTGGTTGCTTTATTACCGCTTTTGCAACGTTTCATTGCAAACGTTTCACGTTTTTATTGTTAAATGCGGCGCAACATCAAACATAAAACATAAAACACGGCAGCAAAAATGTTCACATGCTCGGTGGGTTTGAAAAGCTGTGGCTCTACGGAACCGGAAGTGGCTACGAATTGTAGTGCGGATGTTGGATAGTAACATACACACACACTCGCCCAGGATTCAGTGCTTGAGTAGGCCTCTTTGTTGGAGATTCGTCTTTTGTGTGTTTTGTGGCTAAAATTGTAATATCAAGCTGGGCTATTTGGCTTTGTTTTCCTTCTTTTTTTTTACGTCTATTAGCTTGGTGGCCATAAAAGCACCACGGAGCACCGCATGACAAAAAATTAAGTATACGCAGTGGAAGTGACTTAATTTAATGACGTAAGTTGCATACTTTTGGCCTCATACTCATGATGGCCGTAATGTAGAAGTGTAGTAAAAGCCAAACTACTTGCACCAAAAGGTCTCAGGATGAGCGGCGTCCTCAAAGGTAAACAAGCCAGTAATTGCCACTCCATTGCCCCGCTTTGACTCTGTCATTAATTTTAAATTGGCTGAAACAACCTTTGAGCTCAGAGCACTCGAATGCAGCTCTTCATTTAATATCTGCAATGATTATAAATTTAATTGATGCTCGAGCAGGAGCACGAGCAGCTCCTTGATGATGAAATCCGAAACGAATCGGATAAGTCAATAAGCAGGATTCTCTCAATTCGTCTGATTGCCTGAGGCCCCCAGGCTCAGTTCGTTCTGATTGGCATGGCCAGGACACACACTATTCGCACAGCATTTGTCTCTTTGGCATTTCTTTCCTTTTGTTTTGGATGTCAGCAAAGTTTCTACATTTTATCTCAATCTCAATCTTGCATGCATACATACACGCTCACATGCTGAGTCCTTTGCCATGCCACGCGCATCCTGCAGCCAGGACTTTGTGCGCAATTCGAGCATTTGGCGCTTATCGCACATCTCATCCCAAAAATGGTAACCGACACATTTGCACAATTGCTTCTTGTAACTGACACGTCAGCCACGTCCAAAACGTAAACGTAAGTAAGAGCCAGGAACTAAAGCCGAATGTTCTGCGCCATTCGGGCCGGGCTCCAAGGACCCAAGGAATATCTGTATTTTCCCTAGAGGTGGGTGCTTCACTGGGAGTGTTTTTCAAACATCTGCATGTTTATCTGCAGGACTCGAAATAAATCTGATTACCTGGCATGCACAATTTGTTTCGATTTTGTTGTTCAAGTGCAAAGTGCAAAACTTAAATGTTATTAAATTTTAAAAATTAGTTAAAGTTTTTATATTTTGCTCATGAGCACGAGACCGCCCCTAATGCAAATGTCCTTTTTCGCCTTCGGTTTCCAGTCCTGTCAGCCGTGCGACTGGGATCTTTGCTCTGGAGGCAGATTTAGTTTATGTTCTGGCAACTTTCTAATGCAATTCACGTGTGCTCTGCAATGCAATTGTGGAATGGTCTGGTGTGGCATAGCCAGTGCGTTGTGTGGGTGTCTGTCAGTGCGTGCCTCAAGTGTCGGAGAGCATATTGCAACCATAGAAAGTTTCCCCACTTGATATCTAGCTGGGGCATAAAATTCAATGTCCGTAGAAAGTCCATTTGCATTGAATAGGTGGCTGACAGTAGTCGGAGTAGTGTTCTTTATTTCAACAGTTTTGACCGTGTTTTCCATCTGAAATGCAAAATGTTTTCACAAGCTCACAATCTTTTTAGCCTCGAAATATTTTGCCAAAACATTTAAGGTACATATGCAAAACATATCCACCAGAGCACTTCTCAGGAAATGAAATTTTATATTTGAACATTGACTAACTGAAGAGTGGACGAACAATGAAAAGCAATTAAGTCCAGTATTCCATGTCTACAAATAGGCTTTTCGATGGGCCTTAAGTCACCTTTGCCACAAATTGAGATTTTAAATTCAGTGTCAATAAACTGAAACTAAATACATCAACAAATTGAGGACACTAGTTCGCAGAGGTGAACAATTTTTGGAAATATAATTAAGCTGTCAGGAATTTCAATTACGATGTGTCACTGGAAAGCTTTCTCTCAAATGCCCTTGACAAAGTGTGAGTTTTTTGGCCAACATGTTGTAACTGTTGAAGGAAAACAAGTACAAACATTAAGCCCTATTTTGTTTCTTTAATGTTTTTTGTTTCCTCTTTTTTTTGGCACTGAAGCAGCTGCTGTTAATAGGGTGTTGGGCAATTTTATTTTATTGGTTTCCAGCTAACAAAAACACTCATTCACACCCACCACTCACATGCTCACCCCCAGGAGGTTCCTTTAATTTTAATTGGCTCCACGCCCAAACGCACGTGAGCCAACAGTCGTTGTCCTTGCCAGCAGGATGTTACTCTATCGAGGATGACTCTGGCTTCAGCACCAGATCTAGCTCCGGCACCAGCCACTTTGTTTGGTTTTGTTTTTGAGGCATGTGTGTTTCTGTTCTTTTTTATTCGTTGGCATTTTTCCTTTTTTTTTTTTGTAAGGCTTGGCAAGTCGTTAACATGTTCTTATTTAATGCCAAAGAAATTGCCATTGGCATTTATTGCCGTAATTAAGAGATGGAAAGAAAAGAAATCGTAGACCAGGGACACTTGGCCATCAAAGACCAAAGCATTGGGAGCAGCCACTTTTAAAGATTTTGCAATTGCCACCCAGCCGTCTTTTTTGGGGCCAAAATGGAAAAAAACCTATTTGTGTTTTCTGGTAAGTGCCATTTTCTTTGTTTGGAAAACGACCTCATTCCCCTCACGGCACCGTTTTTCCCAGAATACTGAGCCCGGCTCCCGTCACTCATTTTGCTTTGAAATTTATGACCCAGTTAGGAAGGCGTTTTTACCTTCGACTTTTCGGTGTCTGGGCTTCTGCAACAGGCGTTTAATTAAATGATTTTAATGCTCCCGTACGAGAGGCCTTAGGACATTCAATTTAATGAAATTTTATAGGAATAGAAATCGAGCATCGAAGTGTTTTTAAAGTTAT